GGACTGAAACCATCATGAAGATGAGCAGGAATAAAAGCTTTATGAACATTTCAAGCTGCAACAAGAACTTTTTTCTTAAGTTTACTTCAGATAAAGAATCAAAGAGTGTAAAATGACTAAAAGCTCAAATATTTATTCAAAAGAACAAGTTGCTTCTTGTGGTTCAGTTCAGTCCCAGAATCACATTTAGAAGAAACTTCTGTTCTTCAAAGCTTAAAGTCAGATTTATTATTTTAAATCTCGACACGAAGCTTCAAAAACACAAACTGGATGATTCCTGTAATTAATCTCGAGCTGCAGAGGAATATATATATATTTTTAAAAACTACCAAGTTTTTAAACAATTTTTTTTGAAAAACATCTGCAGGAGCATCAGGATGTCATACCAGAGGGTGTCCACCAGGTGGAGCTGTGGCTCCAAGAGTCCGAACCTGCAGCTGCAGAACTTCAGAACCGCCTCGCATCATGTGCTGGAATCAATTCGTTCTTTTTCCTTCAAACTTTCTAATGTCGAATGTTGAAGATCATAGTTCTGAGGCTTCAGCTGAAGAACAAGAAGAACTCTCTTATCACTTCCTCTACTTCTGTTGGGACGGGGTCAAAGGTCACACTTCACTACATGTAAACAAGCTGAGGGGATAAATGAGGACTTCCAAGACCAATCAGTTCGGCTCAAAGTTCCTGTGGATGTGAACACAAATGAAGGTTGGTGGAGTTGGCTGTTAGCAAAATATCTCATGAACCACTGGAGGAGTCGAGAAAGCAACGCCTTCATCACACACTCTCAGAAAAAACATTATCCTCTACATCTACGACACGGCAAAGTTTAAAGAGCGGACTCCGGTAGTTTTACAGAAATAAAGCAAGTTTAAAATGAGGGTCTGCACTCAATGTAAACAACACTCAGCTGTCATGTGACTCTTCTGCAGCTAAACCAACATGGAGGATCCAGGCAAGTCCAGGAGAAGACGTTTAGCTGAAAGCACCAGAGAGAAACGGGTAAAGAAGAGAGAACGAGCAAAACAGCTGGCAGAAATAAGTATCAGCGTTCAAGCATCGAGCTGCGTCGTAAAGACAGCGATTAAAAATAACTTCCACTAGACCAAAAAATTAATGTTTGACCAGTTCACAGCCACTTTGGCTGTTTCTGTAGGTAAACAAACACACTTTGGCTGTTTCTGTGGGTAAACAAACACACGATGGCTGTTTCTGTGGGTAAACAAAAACACTTTGGCTGTTTCTGTGGGTAAACAAACACACTTTGGCTGTTTCTATAGGTAAACAAACACACTTTGGCTGTTTCTGTGGGTAAACAAACACACATTGGCTGTTTCTGTAGGTAAACAAACACACTTTGGCTGATTCTATAGGTAAACAAACACACTTTGGCTGTTTCTATAGGTAAACAAACACACTTTGGCTGTTTCTGTGGGTAAACAAACACACGTTGGCTGTTTCTATAGGTAAACAAACACACTTTGGCTGTTTCTATAGGTAAACAAACACACTTTGGCTGTTTCTGTGGGTAAACAAATACACGTTGGCTGTTTCTGTAGGTAAACAAACACACTTTGGCTGTTTCTATAGGTAAACAAACACACTTTGGCTGTTTCTGTAGGTAAACAAACACACTTTGGCTGTTTCTATAGGTAAACAAACACACTTTGGCTGTTTCATTAAGTAAACAAACACACTTTGGCTGTTTCTATAGGTAAACAAACACACTTTGACTGTTTCTGTGGGTAAACAAACACACTTTGGCAGTTTCTGTGGGTAAACAAACACACGTTGGCTGTTTCATTACGTAAACAAACACACTTTGGCTGTTTCATTACATAAACAAACACACTGGCTGTTTCTATAGGTAAACGAACACACATTGGCTGTTTCTATAGGTAAACAAACACACTTTGGCTGTTTCTATAGGTAAACGAACACACTTTGGCTGT